GATATTGCCTTTGCAGTTATGATTTGCCTCACTTAGAGGGTCTCTCTAGATATTATATACTATGCTTTTTTCTAGAATTCCCTGTCTAATTCTCATTTTAGTAATGCTTTCTATTATACCGGTACTATTCAGTCTTTTAAAAAAAGCTATTGTTTGTTTTGTTAATACTGTGCTTACAAGCAGTTTGGTTTCTAATATATCCCATGTGCTAAAATACCTATATATAACGTTATATACCCCTACATAATAGCTCTTAACCCCCCTAAGACTATATAAAAAAATTTTAAAAATCCATATGTTTATATATAAAATTTTACAAAAACTTGGATATATTATGACCCAGTGATTCAATCAGGATGATTTTGATATCATTCGATTCGTCTTAATAAGACGAATCCAATAGTACTAAAATCATTTCATTTGGACTACTGGATAACGTTTTATTAATAAAATATTATTGATTTTATAGTAATTTTATAAGAAAACATAATAACCAATAGTATTTCATTAATAAAACATGATCCAGTGATCCAAAATCAAATTAAATTGGTACTATTCAACTCCTCTCCTTGAGAGGATTTGAATAGTACCAAAATCATCCAATTTGGACTACTGGATCAAATTTTAGACAAATTTTTATAAAAAAATTACATTATATTTTGGGGGACTCTCTCTAAATATTGAAAAATCATTATATTTTGGGGACCCCTCCTCCTCAAATATAATGTTATTTATGGATGCCATCTATTTGGTACTATTTGCACTATTCCTAACTTTTTCTTTATTAACTGTAGAAAAGGTTGGTGGATTGTATTTAATTCGTTTTTTGTTAATACCACGGTTTGTAGAATATACTCCAACTTGGAAATTAGAACCTGGTTGTTTATATACACTAATTGGCTCATCATAGATTTTTTCCTTTCTAATTTACAAGTAAACAACTCTACATTTTTTTTTTGATCTCTGCTACCTTCTTCTTAGTATAAAGGAAGGTTTCAAAAAACTATAGTTTATGCAGCTTCTTGCTTGTTTTAACCAGTGCATTTCCATATTCTACTTGTTTATTAACAATTGGAAGCTTTGAGTTTAATACTATTAACTTTGATTTATTGCTATTAATTTTTATGCCATTTAGCTGAAAAAACTGATTTGCTACTTGAATTGTTCGCTCTAGCTAATTCTTTGAACTTGCAATCCACATGGTGTTGTTAGCATATACAAGAACCGCTTGCCTAATACTTTTTAGTTTTTTAATTCTTAACAAATCTTCTATTTGTGCTAATACTTTTATTCTATAATCCAAGCTTTCATTTTTCTGTATTTTATTTAACAAAGAATTATAAAAGATTCTTCAAAGGAGGGGTGAGATGGCTTCACTTTGATCGATACCTCTTTCTGCTTTAATTTCTTGTATTAAACTATATGCCGTTATAACCTTTAGCCTTCTATTTTCAAATAGGTTATAAATTAGTCTACAGTATACATCTGAAATCTTGATCTTTTTTAGTGCTTTTTGCAATATGAGAAGATTTACAGAGTCAAAAGCCTTCTTCATATCCTGAAACAGGACCTATAATTCTTGTTGGTTTTCTTTTGCCTCTTTAAGTAAGGTCTTAAGGATATGTACTGGCTCATTTGTAGAATTTTCTAGTAATTCTGCAAAATTGGGGCCTTGAAGAATTATCTTTTCTTTAATAATCTTGCTTAATCTTTTTGTTAAAATTTTTGTAACATCTTTTCTAAAAACTTCTACTAGGGCAATTGGTCTAACCTATCTAAATTATACTCTCAGTTTTGCTTTTTTGGAATTGGATATACTTGAGTTGTTTTCTATTTACTTGGTATATTACTAACTCATAAATATGCTTCTGCAAAGTTTTTGAAAACTTGCTATATTTTTGTATTTGCTTGCATATGTAATTGTTGACATTTCTGGTGCTGAGTTTACCTTATTTTCACTTAACATTAGCTGCCATTCATCTAGCATAATCGGTTGCATTACTGGATCATACCAAGCTTCTAAGATATAATCTTTTGGCTAATATTCTTCAGACTATAACTTCCCTATCTCAGCACTATCATCTTTTCTATTTATAAACTGGTTCTGAAAATGCAACCGAACTGCTTCCAGGACTTCTGCTAGGCTAGTTAAAAGATTTGTTAACTCCTGGTTTTGTGTATATACTTTATCTAAAACTACTTTACTGTAGAGTTGCTCTAACAAGCTAGCTAGTATTTTTTTTTGCTTCTTTATAATTTGCTCAGCTCTTGGTAAGTTAATCTATGATTATTTAATGACACAGAATTATTATAATAGGTTATTAGTAATTTATTTAAATCTATAAGTGATTCATCGTATTTACCTAATATACAATAAGCTTTACACGATTACACTATGTTAACATATTAGCAAGCAACTCAGCATACTAAGATAAGTTATTTTACTACTATCTAATGCTCTATAACTATCGTATCCAAATTCTATTGCTTTATCAATATCTATAAGTGATTTTTAACTACCTAGCATTTTAAAAGCATCTCCACGATCCAATATTGATGATTGTATTAAAGAATTTCGATTTAAAACCATGTTTTATGAAGATATAATTGAGTGAATTTTTTTGAATATTGTATAACATCCAGAAGAACAGTAAGAAATGTTTAGTTGAATTGAATACGAATCAATATTATCATATAAAACACAATGTAGACAAGTGGAAATATGGATTAGTGTTGCAATCTATTAGATATGGATCTGAATTTATTCAGATATCTGTTTTACTATTGTTATCTAGATAATTATCTGAATATTTGTCAGATTATCTAGATATTAATAGTAAATAGATATCCAGATAAATTCAGATATAGATAAATAGATGATGGATTATCCAGATTGCAACTCTAATATAGATATCAATGATTGTATTGGAAAGTTTGCAGGAAAGCTATAAGTGCATTTAAAATTTTATTATACTGGATATTAATTGTATATTAAAGATTATAAATATTTGAACATATATACAGGGAGTTAGTATAATAATTGAGTAGATAAGTATAGTACTGGCTGATTTAAAATTCGAATACTTGATCCAGTGCTATACTGTATATAATAAGCTCGTACTATACTGATCTGCTGTAATTTCATAAAAATTTAAATTCATGCTTTAATTAATTAGCTAAGTAAAAGAATAGTTTGATAATTGAATGTACTAATTTAATAAATACTGTCAATAAAGTTGTGAATGAAAATTTTTAATACAGTGGAATTCACCTAAAGCCATCACCTTTTAATTATAAAAATTTTCAAATTGATATAGCTTTTTAAAAACAAAAGATATTTAAATTTTTTTTTGATAATTTAATAGCTTTTTGTTTAAACTATTAAAATATCAAAAAAAATTTTAAATATCTTCTGTTTTTAAAAGGTTATATCAATTTAAATTTATATATAATTCTAAAATTTGGCGTTTATATATAAAAAAACATAACAAAATTTGAATTAATTAACAAAATTTTAAATTTTATTAATAAAAATTAAAATTGCATTAAGTTTTTCTGAATTTTTATTGGACAATTAAGTTACACTGCAGCTAAAAAATTGGCGCCTATATATAAAATATGTTGGCTTTAGGTGAATGCCACTGTATGTACCTAAATTTTCTTTATGTAATGAACACTGTTGGCTTTTTTTGCATTTTTCTTACGGCCAATAGAATTACTGAAACTTGCAATTTAGCAACTATATAATTACGTTGCAATAGCAATTTTCTTTACATTTACTACTGTTAGTTTTTTTTTTAGTTTTAAAATTACTATATAATTATTTTATTATTACTATGCATTTGTTACATATTAGCAATATGCCCACTACTTAATTTTGCAATCAGTAAAGTATTTTATGTTATGTTAAATTAAGAATCAATTTGAAGTGGCCTTAACCGAGTTAAAGAGTTCTCGGAATACGTGAAATTGAAAGTATATTACTGGATATTCGTGGACGTTATATTGCCTGAAATCGGCTGGTTTATCGCTATACAAAAATCGGGTTAGTGTAACAAAAGAAGCAATCAAATGGGTTCAAAAGAGACATGCTAGACTTAGTCGAGTGGTTAGGGAAGTTTCAGATATCAGCTGATATCGTAGGGTAAAACTATAATATAAACTATAAATATTTAATAAAAAATCCTAGACCAAAAAATCATATTAATACAAAAAAAAATAATATATAGGAGGGAGGTAGACAAATCTCAGGTCTAAAATATATGCATATAACCAATTAGAATGACTAAGTTTTTCAGGAGCGGGGTGAGCTCTATAGATCGCAACTAATATCTGACACGTCCCTTAATGCTAGCATCGTCGTAGTAAATGTGTAAGTACACTGATCATGAGACACTATAAGCTACTTCTAAATTTACGAATGAAATAAGTTAATTTCGAAGCAACATAAATTGAAAATTAGTGTAGGAATCAGCTCTATAAATATTGAATTAAGTCAGTTTTTACATATATGCGCGCTATATTTATTGAACTAATTACTTTAATGCTTAATAAATTAAAAGATTTATCTGAAAAGCAGTATGTAAAATATTAATTACGACAAATCTTAGGAAATGAACTCTAAGAACTATTTGATTATCGTAATTTTTACGTATCAACCACATGATGCATCTATTAAAATGAACCCCAAATTTAATAGAACCAATATAACTATCGCGTAAACCCATCTCTTTTTTATAAAATCTATTTTAACATGTGCGTAATATACTATATTATAAATTTTAGGTAGTGTAAAATACGCCTTATGCAAGAAAAAGAAAAAAATTTATCATTTTTTCTGGGGTGTTAAATCCACATATAAATAATCATTGAAAGTCCGAATCAGATATTTCACAATCGATCTGTTGTGATTCTATAAAAATAATAATAATAAAATAAATTAGAGATATAGTTGCGAACAAATTAATTAGAAATACATTTGTAAAAATAATATGTATTTATCATTTGATTTCTTCAATACAAAATGGTGGAATTTCAACGGAGTTCGCAGGGTTAGGAAGGCCTGAATACTTGAGACGTTTGCTTGTATAAATAGCGCTTTTGTGGATTTTATCAGGATCCTCAGATTTTTGTATTCCTATTTCATCGAGTTCATCAAACATATTTTTTATTTTATCATCATTGTACCAAACCTCTAAAACTTTTTCTATCTCATTTGCTGTTGGACGTTTAGAAGCATCTGCATTCATACATTGGTTTGCTAAATTAACATAAATTTGCGGTGTACTTTTTGCAAATTTTGGTCGAAGACCATTACAAATAGCACATGCAAGACTTAAACCAAATTCTTGGTCTGGAATGCAAGCTTTCCTGTATTAATTTCAGACATTATCACACCAAAACTATATATGTCAGCTACCTGAGAATATGGTTGGTGTTTAAGAACTTCGGGTGCTATGTATGGTAAAACACCATAAATATCATCTTTTATAAAATTGTATTGAAATGCTGGCTGAGCTAGACCCAAATCTGCAATATAACAGTTGTATACTTCATCTTCCAAAAGAACTAGAATATTTCCACTATGTAAATCCTTATGAACCAAATTTAAATTATGAATTGCCACAAGTCCACGAATAATACTTATCAGACATTCTAATCTTTTTTCCCATTTAGAATTTGCAACTTCTTGTAATTGATTTCCCAAGCTTCCATCTTCTATATATTCCATAACTATCATATAATCTAATGTATCTGGATTTTGAGTGATTCCATATAGCCTCACAGTTGAACCGCCAAATTTTAGATATGATTGTTGAAAAGCAAGATGCATTTTCCACTATATTTGCATATTCATAAAAAGAATTATTATAAAATATAAATTCAAAGTAAAATATAAATATTTTAAGTTTTATTCATAAATTCATAAATTTTACCTCTTTTAAAAAGTCTTCACTAATATTTAATGAATCATTTAAATTTTTAATTGCGACATTCAAGGGAAGATATACTTTTTGACTACTTGAAAAATTATAATCATCGTTATCATCATCTGTTATTTCAATTATTGCTCGATCCCAGCATTCCTTCTCATGGTTCCATTTCTCAATATTAGCATCTAGCCAAACAGCTTTGTATACAACACTAAATCCGCCTTCTGCAAGATATTCTATTTCTGTTAATCTACTATATGGTATCCATTCAAGCACTTCCTCATTACACCTAGCATTAATTTGAGAAGTTTTAATAAATTCATCTACATATATGTTGCCGCTAGTCCAATTTTGAAATTCCTGACGAAATCTCTCTGCATTACAGATTTTGCACCAATCAACATCGTCATTTGGATTATTGCAACTTGTACATAAACCAAATTTAAATTCATCTGTTAAATTTTCATTCATTATCTGGTGTTCTGTTGATAAAGCGTCAAAATTTTTACTAATAAAAAATAAAATTAATAAAATTAATTATTTTTATGTTGTATCCCATATTTTTATTTATTACATTAACTACTTACGTATTCATTGATAAAGTTATCAAATCATAAATTGAAAATTTGTAATTTTTTTATACGTATTACATAGGATCGACACCATGTTTGGTTTCAGTGTCACAAATAATTGGCACATGATTTTCTAAAATTTTTATTATTAACACCTTACTTTAAAAATGATGAAAATGATTTGATACAAATGTAAAGTGATGGTTTTATACACATGAATCTAGTCATTATAAAAGTATATTAGATCCGCAAAAATGAAACTAAGTCATATGGAGGGATTCTGAATCTGCAAAAAAAAACTCAATTATAATAGCATATGATTTGGGGATTGTGGTCAAATGGCGGATGGCAATGAAACCTTAATATTGCTATCAAAAACAGCATAGTACAATTAAGAAAGATAATACAGTATTTTGTAGGCAGGCTTGAAATATGCCGTAGGTGGATATCCTTATGTTAAAAAGGTCTGAAAACAACCGTCAGAAATGAGAAATGTACAAAGATCATAGGTTGATGAAAGCATAGATGAGCAAAATAGCAAGATAGAAAGTATAAAAGAGATACAGACAATAAGAAGTGTGTGGTGATTGGTGAAGCAAGTAAAAATAAAATCGGAACAAACAATAATTGAGAGTTGAAAACTCACCCATGCTCTGAGAGATCAATTAAGGAAAGATAACACTTGAAGTTGGTAATATAATTAGTATATATACTAATACGTAAATATGCACATCTTTTTTAGATATCATCATGTGTGGCAGGTATCCTTATATGATACTGAACAGTAACGATAAGTGTAAATTTAGTAAAGCCGTACTGTGTTTCACAAAATTGAGATCGCCGTATAATGATAGCGATAGTGAAAATCCGTTTACAAGTAGAGCCATGAATAAAACAGGTAAAAAAACGGGATATAACTTGACATATATAAAATTTTAAAAATGACAAGTAACGATAAATAGTAAACGTATTTAAATCGATAACCGCCCACATATTTTTATTACATCATTGAACAGTATTTAAAGTTAACGCACATGTAGATGAAAATAGATCATCCAATCAGATGTAAAAAAGCTACGTACATGCCTTACACAATTTGTACTTCGTTCCTGATATACGACTTTAAAAATTTACAACCACAAGAATTATATTTTTTTCTTAATAAAACAACCGTACAGATATAAAAAGGCTTCACTTTAATACGAATATATACATACATATATAAGGATATTTAATAATGTCACAGTCTTCATTTTCTCCGCAATATTATGAAAAATTATCAAACCATATTAAAAGAAGAACCGAAGCTTATAAAGATAAGTTTATGGAAGAAGTAAGGGAAAAATATGACCTTATTCCTAAATCAACACCGAATAACTGCATTGTGGATGAGATTAAATTGGATGAAAAGTATGTGATCAAAAGTAAAGAATATTTAATGGATAGGTTGAAAATATACGAAGATGTTATTGATGAAAAATGGCAACATCTTGATAATAATGGATTATCTGGAGAATGGATTAAAATTAAAAATAGGAAGGACACAGGAAGAGTAGTGCTTTATATGTTTGGTGGAGGATATTGTGTGGGATCATCTAAAGCATCTCGCAATTTTACTTGTAAGATTGCTCAAAATGCAAAATGTTCAGTTTTTGGTAAAATTATCTCAAATTTTTATCGTCTTTATTTCTTAGACTTAGTTTATCGAAGATGTATCTTAACTTTTTATCTATAATTAGCAATTAATTATCGTCTTGCTCCAGAACATCAATTTCCTATTGCACTTTGTGACGCTTTAGCAGCATATTTTTATCTTACTGATCCTCCTCTTGAAACTGGACTTAAACCAATTGATCCTAAACAAATTATATTTGCTGGAGCTAGTGCTGGTGGTGGTTTAGCTGTTGCCACTGCTTTATTAATTCGTGATATTGGTTTACCATCACCATCAGGACTTGTTTTATGGGTATATTTATCAAATTTATAAATCTTTATAATCTTTATAATCATAACAAAGTTCGTACGCTTAATCATTTCCTTCCTTAATTCCAAAAGTCACCATGGGTAGATTTAACAAGTAGCATGCCATCATATTGGGAACCTGAAATGGACAAAACTGACTACACAATTGGTGCGCTAAATACTCGTAGACTTGATCCAACATCCACCATGTCAATTGAATATCATGAACGTGCTAAAATTCTTTCAGAAAAAATTAAACAAAAAAAACCAAAAGTAGTCGGTCATCCTTCTTTTATTAAAGTTCCAAGATTTAGGTTTTATTGTGCAAATGAAGCTTTGGCTATTCCATATGTAAGCCCAATGTTAGCTGAAAGTTTGGGAAATCTACCTCCTATTTTATGTGTAAGTAATTGAATAATAAATAACATTTGTTTAAATATTTGTTTTATATAGTTTTTATAATCACATTGATTATATTTTTACATTTAGCAAGTAGGTGGTGGGGAAAGATTTCGAGATTCAAATATTTTATTCAGTTTCAGAGCTTCTGATCCGAATAAATTTCAATTACCTAAATATGCTACAATGAATTTTGCGAATTCACCATTTAAGAAGCCAACTGAAGTTACACTTGAAGTTTATGATGGAGCATGTCATTGTTTTCAAGCAGTAAGTTTTATTAGTATTAAGAAATTTTCTGAACCTAATTATTCATCATTTTGTATATATTTATGTTATATAATCATAATAGGCAATTTCTGGTGAAAAAATTTCACAGTTTTCAATAAATCGATCTTGCGATTTTATTAAGAATCACATACTTAATCCAGATGAGGTAGAAAATAAATCTTTTCAAAGTATTCAAAAAGATATTAATGCAGTGGTGATTAATCCTAATTGTGAGATTAGAGAGTTGGATGAAAAATTTAAAGAATGTTTAAATTGGGAAAATATTGGTGTTGTCCCTGAGTTAGAAGTTGTTATGTAAATAAATTATTTTTTACTATAATAAATGAAATTTTTATATTATTAAATAAACAAATAAATATTTGATTAATATAATTCTGTATATACTTGGTGTTTTATACATTTCTAAACATAATGTTTATCACGTAAAGTATCGCATAATTAACAAATAGAATGTTTCCCACTAACTAATCAACGCTAATGATATGATAATTGAATATACTGTATATTCTAGTAGTTTAATACATAAAAGTTACAAATTGAAAAAAATTTTCTAATTTTCCAATACTTGTGAAAAAAAAACTTGCAAAAATTTAAATCATTTTGAAAAGGATCGATTTAATAAATCTCTTTAAAAAACGGCAGCGATCTCTAGCCTAAAAATATAATTTGTTTATACAACATGAAAATCTATAATATGTCAAATCTATAATTAGCTTGCATAGCTTGATTATTAAGATGATTTACCACTCTAGTACGTTCAAAAATTGGTGGATTTCTGGAGGTTAACATTTAGAATTACACCAGGGATCATTGACAATACAACGTAAGCAGGTCTAGCACGGATTAGCCAACGCTGCTTAAGGATTCTTCTGAGTATTATTAACTAATAATTACTCAAATAAAATATAACAGTATAAATGATCCTAATTTAAAATAAACAACGTGTGATTAAGAGATTAAGAAGTAGTATCAGTTTGGAAAGTCAATAATATATTAATTATTTTTTTTAATACAAATTCCATAAGGTCTGACATCATCATCTTTTTCAGAAAGCCAATATTCGTCATCACTAACAGGAACCTTCTGCAAACCAAAAGGATTTACACGATTCTGAAGTACCATAACATACATATTACCTTCAAACTCAAATCGTTCTGCATATTGTTCTGCTATTCGTATGTCAGGCGATGAATAAATACCACGTCCATAAGCAAAACGCTCTCCTTTGTTTAATTAATAACCATCTTCAGCAATTGGTCTTGCATTATGTTTAGCGGTACCATGATACGACACTGGCCATGAATCATTACCAGTACCAAGCCATTTATCATCACCATCATCATATTTCCTGGTAACCCTCAAAGCGATTCGATACCATCCATATGGTCTTTTATACAATGAATTGCCCGCATCAACGTCACATTTGTCACACTAATATTTGTGAAATCGTAATCATAAGATGGATCTAAATCACTCACATTTAATGTTAAGTGAATAATTATACGTTTCCATCCACATGACTTTATAGATTGCCGTGTAATAGTATTTCCATTATCTCTATTATTTATAAATTCGCATAAATGTGGTGAATTCAAAGTACCTACAGCCATGCAACTAACTACACACTCACCACCACGTAGACGTAAAACCAAGTGCAACGTATTTTCTTTTTTAATATAGTAATCAGAAATTGTTTTATCATCCTCCAAGCATATACCGTTGAAAATTAAACTTTGATGATCTTTCAAGATATTTTCTTTATTTTGAATTTTCTGTTTAATAATATCAATAGTATTATTTCCTTTACACTCAAGTGTTATAGTTTTACCAGTGAGCGTTTTAACAAATATTTGACCACCAAAAGTACAAAATTCTAAATTTAATATATTATTCCGTGAAATATTATAGTCTAAAAGAGTTTTTCTATTCTTTAATTGTCTATTATCAAAAAAGATTTTCTGATGCCTTGATGGAACGCCTTCCTTTATCTGAATTTTTGCTTAATATATTCTATAGTATCACTTTCTTTACATTTGATCTGTATAATGCTGCCAGTATGCATTTTCAAATAAATTTGTGCATTACAATTTTGGTTACGTATCTAGTTAAAATTGAATGAATCTTTCATATCAGTATCAAGTACTGTGATTGACATCGATCTGATGAGGTGAATACAAATTGACTTGCTTGTTATTAATAATAGCACTCGAATTGCTGATAACAAAAATTGATTTTTATAAAATTAGTTAAATAAATTTGGGTTATATATGGTACATTATTAGCTTACCCATTGCAATTAATATAGGAAGTTGACATGTTAATTGAATTTACAGATTTTCTTGAATATAAGGATGTTGGAAAGGTCTGACTAATTTGAAAATTAGATGATTTCAAAGTACTAAGACTAGTTTCTTAAGGTTGTTGGATGCAGGGTTTAAACATTAATATTAGTTATTACTGTATTACGTTTGCATATTATCTATGAATATTAGATGGTAATGATTGTTGGGCCAAGGGATATACAGAAGGGTTGGCGCATGTGAATATAGGTATAGGGTATTGATATGTATAAGGTGGGTGTTTAGGAGGTGTATATCATTTTCCATCACTTGCCTTAGAAGAAGCTAGTTCGTCGCACCTTAATTGAATGGAATGAGTCTTTGTTTTCAATGTGTATGGTAAGGGTTCGCAACTGCTGCAGTAATAACCCTGATTGTGACGTTCAGGCTCCATGGCTGTAATTACAGTGTAAGGACCTTGGTTGTCGACATTCAGGCTCTGTGGCTGCAATCAGTGCAAGAACCATAGAAAGTTTCTAACAACATAACTTGTCCAGGATCTTCATCTTTTAGCCATATGACTCTTCTTCATTTGCAAATGTGCTATTTCCTTCTCTGGTAGCACGGTTGGTTTGGATCATCATGTGATGGAGATTGCTGTACTCGGACTTGGCCATAAGGGTTGCAAAGTGTTGATTTTGGCTGGACCATTAAGAAGGGCTTTAATGGATTAGATTTAAACATGCTCGTAAAGATTGGAGCCTGCTAGTAATAGCGAGCCTATTTTTTGTATGTTTTTTTTTTCATTGTATAGCAACAAATCTCTGATCGAGCAATAATAATATAAAATCTATTTGCAGCAGTAGCATAATGATGCACGTTTGATAGTCAATAGAAATTGAAACAAAACTATCGTTATCTTTATTATTTATTACACTTTTGTTCATGAAAAAGGTTATTAGACACCTGGAGTCTTTGCCTTGAAATCACGGTATAGGACACTGATTTATTATGTCTCATAACACGATTTTAAGCAAAGAACCCACCGATCTTATTCTTTCGACTTTATACTTCTCATTTTTGTCCATTAAGAATACCTGTTAAACTTTGCATGATACGCATTAACAAATGAAGAATTGATCTACGAGTTGACGAGTCGAACTGAAAAATTTGTATTATAGAGAAGATTAGATTATATGAGTGCGTGAGAATAAAACAGGAAATAAAATTTAACCAATCATAAAATTTTATTTCCTGATGTTCAGATAAATTACAAATATCTGATATGTCATGATAATCAATAATTACAATTTTAAAATAGTTACTTCTTAACAGCGATAAAGATGCATGAAGTTATGCAAAATACCAATGAATAAAAATTTACAGTATCTAGCCAAAATGGGTATTATAAGCGTATTTAAAGTTTTCATGCGTATTTATTTGTGGCAAGTGATGTAAATGTAATGCACGCAAATTTTTATAATTTTCACTATGTGAAAAACGGGTACGGCAAATTGTTTTATCCTATTAGCATCGCTAAATTTAGTAGTTGACGTTGTGTTTAAATTCTTAAAATATACTTTTAGTATGACAAAATGCCGTATTTAGGGCTAACAATCGAAAAGCGTAAAGACTTATTTCAGTATTTATTGTTTAACAATCTTGAATTCGAACATAAACTTAGATGCAGAATTTATGCACAAAGACTTGCATTCACAGTAGTACAACAAAATTCCATATTTAGGACTAATAATCAGATAATACGTATGATGAACTTATTCATAAGTTATCAATCTTGAATTCAAAGAATAAGCTTCCGAATACTTATATATGGTTTATTAATAGGGTCTTTGAATCCTTCATTGAGAAAGTAGATTAATGAAAAAATGAAAATTTTGAAAAAAAGACAGGCGGAATATCGAAACCTTGGAAGTAGAAAAAATAACAATATCGATAAAAGTGGTTTACCTATAATACTCGCCTAAGTTTTACCTTCAACTCTGACCATAATTTTAATCAAAATGGTCCAATGTAGAGTTAAATACCTCAATCCGGATATATTTTTTATATCCGGATTAATCCGGTTTTATCATAGTATAAATAAATTTAAATCCGGATATAAAACATTATGTCACGTTATATCACATGACTAGTGATGTGCCATTTATATGATACCTGAAAAATTTTAGCGTACAGTACGTACAGTACGTACAGTACGTACTGTACGTATAGTTCTTTTCTGGCATCTGATTGGCTGGCAAAAGTGATCGGCAAAAATTTTAGCGTACAGTACGTACAGTACGTACAGTACTGTACGTATAGTACTGTACGTATAGTACTGTACGCGGCACATCACTACACATGACATAGTATATATCCGGATATATTAATCCGGATAGAGGTATTAACTCTAGTCCAATGAGTCTTAACATTAAATAATGTCACGGATGATCATGAAATCGGATGATGATGAAATTTGGGCCTAATTTAATATGAAATTTTAGAATTTTTTATCCTAGCTTTTTTTAGTGATAGGCTAGAATTTAGGGTTAGAGTTGCTTAGAAAAGATTTCGGTAGAGTTTATATTTTCAAAAGAAGACCACAAATTTCACCATCATCCGATTTCACGATCATCCACGTCAAATAATAACGAGGGATGCATACGAAGACAGTTATTAAGATTACTATAGTTTTCTAAATTTCTCTAAATGCATGTATTTAGTGTGCAATAAAAAAAAAACTTGCATTGAACTTATGCCAAAGTATGAAATTACTTTAGAGAAGTGCTAGAAATTTAATGAAATTATCAATTTAGGAGTTTATGGCGCGAATACTAATATAACCAAATATAGCAGGGATCATATGGCAATAACATACAGGGCAACACGGCAGCAGCCCTTAAAGAGACAAATCAATTTCGCACCCTACCCTACCTTCCCTGTCATTTTGTGGCAGCTTAAACGTCTATTTACGGCCGGCCTGCGTAATGCATGTGGGAAACGACCGGCCAAGATAATGTGGTCACAAAGCTCCTGGCTAACGGCCGGCTAATGCCAATTATACATGTATGCTATATATCTCTTTCAAGTATACATTAAACGCACTGATGTATGCTATATCTCTTCAATTATACACCAAACGAACTGAGTATACTATATATCTATTCAATAAAGTTTGAATATCCAGCACTATTAGCGTTGGAATCTGTCCAACAATTATATCACATGCGTGCATTTCTTTTCAAAATGATTATCAATTCACCTGGGCGGTAAAAAAATTCGAAAAAGAAAAAAATTACAACTTACAGTATATTAAATTCTTTTTGCTAACGACTTAGCACTAAAATATAGTAAGCCTTACTAACAGCTACAACTATTGGTTCAGCTCCATATGAGCGATGAAAGTTCAGCTCCGCACTTCAAGAACATGAAAACGAGCAAGAGAGTATATACAACGCATTTTCGCTTAGGTGATACAATTATAGATGTGAACTGTGAATTACAGTACTGTACATATAAATAAACTGTAGTTTAATTTAAAACCACAGTTTTACAATAAACTAGAGTTTATTTATAGATTTCGTATTGATAATATTAAAATAAGTAGGCCTTAAACTTTTTAGAGTGTTAATTGGATATATAGATTTTCTGACATAGTTCTCGATATAATCCTTAGTTAGATAGACCCAGATTGGGGAGGTCAATGGTCTCATGGAAGAAGGATGTCTTTGAGTAGATCGTGAGATCATGACACCTACGTATGTATGCTAGTTCTCTACCCAATATTGGAGTAAGAGTTATATGCACTTTGACCTCTTCTTAATAAAGAGAATTCTCGTGACTTGCCCCTATCATAAACTATTGCCTGTATACCCCTTTGCCATGAATACTTAATAAAGCCAATTTTATCGTTCTCAATGACAACCTGTTTGGGAATTAATTAAAGTTTCGTTGGCGTTCTATTCTAAATTATGGCACAAGTACAATTATTAAAGTCGATAATTATGTACTATCTCTGTACATATGTCCGTGTGTCATACACTACTAAACGCGTTCGCGAACAATGAGATAAGGTAAGAGAATTCTGGAATTTTACATGCTGTGTTTAATGTACATACATGTGATGGGAAAAACATGTTTAGGTCTCATGAGAAATAAAATTAAAATGGAAATGATAACCGCTTAGCAAAATCAGATTTTATACGGAATGTGATATCTCACAAATTCGTTTTTGATTTCAATTACAATAAGTTTTGTCAATCGTCAGTAGCTCCATCAGTGGGCAAAGTTTTGCAATTGCAAAAATCATATTATTACTAAGAACTGGGCTTCTATGATCTGTAGTTTCGGGTCTTTGAAATAAGGATTTACCGTTAGGTTTGTAGAGTAGTTTCGTAGTTCAGTATGGTATATATGAGCAAATCAGTTCAAATCTATACTATGTGGATCAGGTACTATGTATAAAAACAGACACATTAAATGCCCGGAGCTTATTTGACTATTAGCTAAAAGTAGAAGCAGATGAATTAAATAAATTAATGATCATCTGATCTAAAAATAGATGCGGACAAGATAATAATAACACACAAAATCTGGTCTATCATATCACTTCACCACAGATCGTCCTCCGCTACGCTCCGACAATGAGCGTTTGTTTCTATAATTTTGCAGATCAGTATAATTAACGTTTGTAATTGGAATAGTGATAACAATAGAAATTATAAAATAACGTTTTTACGATGCATGAGGCTGAAATTTTCGTTTTGTTAACCTGATTGACTCATTTTTTTCAATTTTTTTTTTAAGCTCAATTTTGCAGATTATTCTTTTTTTTCTTATTGTCATGGCCGTTTTTATCTGGTGTTACATGATGGAAACTTTAATTTCCCGGAAATATCCAACAGGATTGACCCAATTTTCGCCATGTAATGCAAAACGAAAATTTATATTTGTGTAGCCTTATTAACGGAGATGAAATTTTTTTTCATTGGGGGTCGCAAGAAATTTGTGTCTTTTGCACAAAGATAACATAAATAATAGAAATTATAGAAATTATAAATTATAAATTATAAATTATAAATAGGAAATGCATATTATCTTGTAGTCAGAAAAAATGTGATATAAATACATTATCTCGCATGAATTAAAACTATCTTATCTGAATATTTATATTGCATCCGTTATTATATAAATTACGTGTTTTAGGCCTTGCGTTTTCTGTAATTAAGCCTATATTATTCTGATAGACCTTTACCTGGAATCAAACTTATATTTATTTTTGATAAATTTTTTATCTGAAATGGCCGATGAAGATAATAAGCATTTAGATGAAAGAAAATATAATCTCCTTAAACTAAATAAAAGTGTTGGTAAATGGAAGAAACTTAGGGTATATTCTTTCCAACGTCTAGTCATTGCTGCGGCAATTTGTGCATTTTCACTTGGAATTGGATGCTATCTTTATATTTCAGATAAAGATAGCATAGAGTCATCAGTAAAAAGGGTCATTTCAACTTCAGTTTTTGGAGTAGGAAGCACAGGAATTCTTGTCAAAAGTCTAACGTCGCTCAAAACTCTTTTTACTAAAAAAAAGGATGTAAAGATTGAAAATAATAATAAAGAAAACGAGATATTTGGTTCTGACATCGTTAAAAAGTCAACAATAAATTGTCCAAGAAAATTAGATTCTCATGAATCTTCACCAATATTGTTTGTAAAGGCACTTATTGAGCATATGCATATTATGATGATTTGGCGTACTATATGGATTTCTTTAATGTCATGTACATTTATTATATTATCTATCGTAGCTATTTTTTTAATTATTTATAGTCCTGAAGTATCCATATTTCATGAAATGACAATCATTCTCGTCAGTTTTTCTTGCTTTAGTCTAATGGAGATGATTACTTTTACTATTTGTATTACATATATTATCCCTAAGTTAGAAGAAGTGGACAAAGGCGACATGAATAAAGTATATAATGAAAAAAATGATGAGGATATACCCGAGTTGGCTGATGATATAATAAGTTTTATAATGACACGCATACACGACGAAGATTATCATTATTATCATATTTTAACCAATGAATACCTTATAGGAATTTTGGTAATTATAAAGCTAATGGCACGTTATTTAACTATATTGCACGACGAATTTGAGAAGAAGAGAAATTCTAATGATAAAGGCAATTCAAATAATAATGAATCGACAATACCGCATGACGAAAAAGAAAGTAAAAACAATTTGAATGATGAAAACAAATCAAATTATTCAGAGTGTGTGCACGCTTTACTCGGAAGTATAAATGCTTGTATGGATGCCGTTTTTCAAGAAGACAATAGACTTATGAGGAAGGGGTTAAAAAAATTGTATTTACTTAAACCTAATTTGGATTCAAAATTTCGTATATATTATCTTAGTGACCTCGATGAAAAAAATTATATTAAGAAGAGTATTGCTAAATATTTTGAGGAGGAAAGATCTGTGCCTGAAAAAGATTATAAAGGTACAGTTATTAGTATAAATGATGTAGACAAATTTATAAACAATGCAAACATCATTTTGGAGAAATCTTTAGAAATTTATCAAGAACAAGATCATAAGGATAATATTAATCTAAAAAAAACAGATTTAAAGAAAATTGAGAACACGTTGGAAGAAAATCGGAGACACAGAAATATAATGAGTATTTTATCAGAAATGACGAGTGATGGAAAACTGTATAGCGTAAATAAAATGATGAAAACTTTGAAAACTTTGCTAGAAAATTTATTAGGAATATTGAGCGTAGGCGATGAAAATGGAGGTGATAAAATTAAAGACGATAAAAGTGAAGACGATAAAATTGAAGTTAATAAAAGTGAAGACGATAAAATTGAAGAAGATAAAAGTAAAGACGATAAAATTGAAGAAGATAAAAGTAAAGACGATAAAATTGAAGACAATAAAAGTAAAGGAGATAAAAGCGAAGTTAGTCTGGAAGAAATATTAATGCCGATAATTATATTGAAAATTAAAGCCAATGAAAAGGATAAAAGTGAGAGCGGGAATGGTAGTAAAGTGAACGATACTTGGTATAACGATATTTGTCATAAAAATGTAGAATTTTTATTCAAACCTAAGGTCGAGTGTAAAGATAAAGTTAGTTTAATTAATAAAATGGTGGAAATTTTATTAAAACTTATACGCGATGCCGAGAATAACGAAAAAGATGTCAATTTGTACATAAAGAATTTAGAATTAATATCAAAATTTATAGATAATCTACTGAAGAATGAAGACAAAGTCAAAAGCATTATGGAGTTTAATGATTCATTATTACCTGAAGAATTGAATATTGTAGTTAATATTTTGAGAGTTTTTTCAGGCATTACGAATAAGACCAAGAGTGACGATAAGAAATTTGATATCATAAGCAGAATGACGGATATGTTAACAGAAATTGTGATGAAAAGGATGTACAAAGAGGGCAAGGAAGCAAAATTGGAAGAAAAGGACATGGAAGTCGTAAGCTCAATAATAGAAATTTTTTCAAATATCATAAGTAAAAACTATAATGCAACTATTATGAAAGATGTTAAGGAACCTGAAAATTTATTCGTGCTTATAAAAAATACTTATGAAGATATAGATAATAATGCAAAAAATTTTACTCAATTAAAAAGAATAGTATTGGAAATTATAGAGCTTATGATTAAGGCCATGATTAAAAAAGATACATATACTGAATATAAGGCATCACATGACAAAATGAATAAATTGAATGTCGTAGATGCAAAAATAAGAGCAATTTTATCTGAAGTTACGGACGACAATAGTCTTAATCCAAATAATATTAAGGAGTTAGATAATTTAAAAACTCATTTAGTATCTATAAGGGATGATGCCATAATGGAAAAGTATTTTAACGAAAAAATCGATATATTTAAAAAAATTAATTCCAAGAAAATTAACTGGTTTAAAAAGTTACTTCTTTATTTATTGACCATTATTTTTTTGCCTACTCTTTTTTTAACTGGTTTGATATCATTGAAAAATGAAGATAAAGAGTATGCAGAATATAAGTATCATTTTAAGAAATATAAAGAAGAAGAGCCTTATGGATATAAGAAAATTAAATGGGAAATTTTATGGAATAGGTTAAAAAATGATTATAGAGTACAGTTAAATAGAATAGAAATGAATAAGAAAGAAAAGGAGATAATCAAATGTCTTCTTTTTGGATTATCAATGGATAGCAGCAATTTGGTTTAATTGAATAAATAGTTTCATATTTATATCTTATTTTTGTTTATACTTTTTTATATATACGTATCATAAAGCTTGTATTCAAAATATATTGATATGTTATAAATTTTGTATCAATAACTCAATTATTATCAGTTGTATAATTATATAAATATAAATAAATATCGATTTTCTAAACAAACTACATTTCAAATCTATTAGATACTATGACGGAAATGATACGAATATATTCCACATAATAATAAATAATAAGAAATAATGGTTAATCATAATAATTGTGGAATAAGAAAACAAATAAAAATTAACTATTTTAGTATCTTGTATATTGACCTTATTTCTCATTAAGACTTTCAGCGAACATTACTAAATCTGTTTTTAATTGACAAATCGCATAATTCATTTTCTGAAAAAGTCAACTTACTTTAAAGGATTATGATACTTCTTAATTCAGTAATTAGATTTGAGGCGCATTTGATTACTTCTGCAAAATCTATAAAACCTTCTGTAGAATCTGTAAAGGTTTCTGCAGAATGCTTCATCTCCTGCGAAAGATCTTCTTCTATTTTCAAATATAGCAGAATGATTAAAAAGAACTAGAGATACAGTATCTTAATCAATTTGCAATTTTGGTATTTGCCTTTATTAGTTTAATTAAAAAATTAAAGAACAGTCCATCAATATGGAATTATAAGCCTACATGATATTTATCAATTGAACTATGATAAAGAATTTTGTATATAATAAGATTTTTTTATTATCACTTTGGCATCAACATATTGATCAAATTATTTGAATTCTTTGGGATAAATTGCGTCAATATATATTAACTGTCAATGTAAAGAAAAATCCTCTAAACCCAAAAATACAATAAGATACATTAATGATTATTTGTGCTATTAGTTTAAAAGTTATATATACTAAAACACTGAGTAGTTTGCATATTAGTAATAATCAGTTTGGATTATGCAAATTAATAGTATTAGCAAGAAAAGTATATTAATGAATCTAACTCTTTATTATATCAAGGTCAGTGTTGATAAAAAAAATTTAAGCAAAACAATTTGTTGTAATTAGCTTAAAATGTAGCAGTGTTGTACGTTGCTCTTAAATAACCGTTAATTCAAAATTAATGTACCTGAATTTACCGATTAAAATGTAACATACGTAATATGTAACGTACATCAAGCTTAATATAAGAGTTTAATAAATTAGATTGATTATAAAAAAAAGAAAAATAATAAAAAAATTCTTTGTTATTTTATCTTCCTTTGCTATTTTTTCGTTTCTTTCATTTCAAAGATTTCAAAAAATCGTTAATGATTACATGAACAGTAGAAAAAACGAAAGACATATAATGAATCGTTCAAAGTATGATCGTTGCCTGGCTATTTACGAAACCCGTCAAGTAAACATTAAAATTCAAACCTTAAATATTGGGTTCTTAATACCTTTTAATTAATTAAACTTGGAAGTATTGATGGGCTGAATGTTAAATCTGGTAAACATAATCGCGGTAGCAAATCGACATGTTACTCATAATCGTCAAATGTTTTATAATCTTAATGGAAAAAACGATAAATTTGAAACCAGGTGATCCCGTAAAGATTCGGATTCCTGGAATTTTTGAATACATGGTTTTCAACAAACGAATAGATATTGATGAATTTCCTGATCTTGATGTAATTTCAATGAGCAACTTTATTTCTTTACAAAATGCTGGTGCTCAGCAAAACTTAACCCGACCACTAAATATTACAAATAAAACATCCAACCAAGAAACTGAACAAGGTTTAAAGAAAAATTATGGCTGCTATTGTAATAAAACAATCGTAAGAACAATGCTCTTTGTACTTTTCATTGTGGTTGTATTCGCCGAGGTACATGCAAAAATCATATAGCGCTTAGCAGTTGTTTAATCTTCAACTTGTGGATTTTAACAATCGTAATGGAAGCAAATACAATTATTAATAAAAATAATTTGATTTGCATAAAATCATATCGATACCGATTAAAATATGAAGTACTTTAATTTACAATTTTGAAGCAATTTTTAATTGACGGGAATTTGAAAGTGACGTCTAACATGTGTACGTATGTGTACTATTTAACTAAAAAAGCGAGCACTATGAAAAATTTTATGCATAAGTTGTTAGGGTGATAAACGGACTAATTAATCAAACATATGTCAGTAAACTATAAATTTTAATATATTGCAGATTTTTCAGG